TCTCAAACCTCATCCTAAGGAACCACTACCCTGCATGCTATATATCTGTGTTGCAGCACACTTGACACCTCAGCAACCAAGAAGTGCTGCAGAAGCCTGTTAATCATTCCCTTATATAATTCAGGCGTGTGGAAGTCAAATGTGCTCTAGTGAATTGCATTTTATAAGCTGAAAACATTTTATTACCTCCTATTCCCATTTATTTTGATTCGTAAACCACTTTGTGTTAACTGTTGTAAAAAAATTGTGTATATGGCTCTGATTTCAAACCAAGGTAACTTTTAGCATCTTCCTGCTGATAGATGTTAATAATAGGAATCCTATATTTACACTCCTCTGAATAATAAGAGAAACCACATTGACACTAAAACACTCAAATGCTTATTACTGCAGAGGAGCTTTTTGCATGTTTCCACTGGTATTTAAAAAAGGTATCTTTATAGATGCGTATCATGTCTTTGAGGTTGGAAGGTTATTTTGCCATCACCCAACTCTTTAACTCCCTCAACAGATTCTCCATTCGGAACTGTCTTTTTATTACACTTCTACAGTGAAACGAACACTAAAAAAGATTTGAGCAGTTATGTTTCTGTGGCAACAAGAGCCCCCCTCTGAAAAAAAAATCCGACAAGTACAATTATAGGTAATGTGGTTGATGACAACAAAAAGTGTAGAAAATCAGAGCAAGTGGTACAGTACATCGGCAAGTGGTACAAGCACTTTAAGTATGTACAGGTCAGGGGTCTGTAACCTGTGGCTTTGGAGCCACAAGTGGCTCTTAAGACACTTGGTAAAGACTCTTTATCGCTGTGGCTAAAAATAATGATGAGCCTGTTAATCTTTGTAAAAACCAATAAATTAACAGATGCTCGTTAGTGTGCTGAATGCTACTTTCTGCACTGGCTAATTGCATTAAATTTCCAAAACAAATTTACTTTAACCATAAGAGAATGTTTTTTTATTTATCTTTTTTTAAGCAGGCAAAATATCTTCCTGTTTTCGTTTCAATAAGGCATTAACAATGCATTTATTGTCATGTTGGGATTCAGGTTTCTAACCCACATGCAGAACACCCAGGAGTCAGAGTAAAGTTTAACAATTTATTAAACGTTTGCACAAGGTTGTTTCACAGATTCTTGAATCAATGATAAACACAAGGTTAGATGACAGATGCTGGAATCAGGTCCGGGACTGGTCACACAAGGGCTCTCTGCAGAGAGGGGCAGTTAGGTTAGCCAGGCAGCTAATGATCTGGTAGCTGAGAGAATGTGCAGATCTGTACCTGTTCAGAGATTCTGGCTGAGCGGCAGAGGAAGGGAACCAGGAGGGTCTAGAGACTGATCGTTGCCAAAGGGCTTGGAGCGACAGAACTTAGCTTCAGGCTGTGAGTGTTAAGAGCTTCATCAAGTTGCTTCTTGAAGGATGAGAGGTAGAATCAGACAGTTTGATCTTCAGGTTTGTTACTGAGAGCAGGCAGGCAGGTTTCAGTTGAGTAGCTCTTCCAGAGCTCCAGGGTCTCAGTCAGATTCTTCCTAGGAGGCAGAGAGGACAGAAAACTGGTTAGGTTCAAGTCAGGTTTTCTGGGAGTCAGAGAATCAGACAGGCTGGTTGGCTCAGGCTTGCTAACCGTAACTAGCTTAAATCTCTGACGCTGAAGAGTAGTTCTGCCCTGCTTATATGCTGCTCCTCCTGTTGAGCAAATCAGCCGCAGGTGTGGTAGTCAGCTTCAGCTCCAAGAGACCTAGGGCGCCCTCTGCTGGAGAAAGGTGGGCAGATCTCCAGATTCCAACATTTATTCTCTTTTCGTAGATGAATTCCATCCTTTTAAAACCTAAAGTTTTAAACCGTACAGTGTTTATAAAAAAAAAATGAAAATAGACATGACAGATATTTATCAAATATAAGTTCCGTTTTTCTTTTCTTTTTTTAAAAAAGATCACACAATGTTTGCAGCTTCAGCTGGACTGAATGTAAAAACAGCTCTTTGGATTGTAAAAGTACATATTATTTACTTTTTTTATTTCAATGCACACGTAAAATAAAAGACTATTCCTAAACAAAAAAAATACAACAACAAAAAAACAAATATATATATACATATATATATATATACAGGTGCTGGTCATAAAATTAGAATATCATGAAAAAGTAGATTGATTTCAGTAATTCCATTTAAAAAGTGAAACTTGTATATTATATTTATACATTACATACAAACTCATATATTTCAGATGTTTATTTTGTTTAATTTTGATGATTACAAATGACAACAAATGAAAATCTCAAATTCATCATATCAGAAAATTAGAATATTACTGAAGACCAATAAAAACAAAGGATTTATAGAAATGTTGGCCAACTGAAAAGTATGAACATGAAAAGTATGAGCATGTACAGCACTCAGTATTTAGTTGGGCCTCCTTTGGCCTGTATTACTGCAGCAATGCGGCGTGGCATGGAGTCGATCAGTCTGTGGCACTGCTCAGGTGTTATGATAGCCCAGGTTGCTCTAATAGTGGCTTTTAGCTCTTCTGAATTGTTGGGTCTGGTGTATTGCATCTTCTTCTTCACAATACCCCATAGATTTTCTATGGGGTTAAGGTCAGGAGAGTTTGCTGGCCAATTAAGAACAGGGATACCATGGTCCTTCAACCAGGTACTGGTAGCTTTGGCACTGTGTGCAGGTGCCAAGTCCTGTTGGAAAATGAAATCTGCATCTCCAAAAAGTTGGTCAGCTGCAGGAAGCATGAAGTGCTCTAAAACTTCCTGGTATGTGGCTGCGTTGACCCTGGACCTCAGAAAACACAATGGACCAACACCAGCAGATGACATGGCACCCCAAACCATCACTGACTGTGGAAACTTTACACTGGACTTCAAGCAACGTGGATGAAGTGCCTCTCTTCTTTTCCTCCAGACTCTTGGACCTTGATTTCCAAAGGAAATGCAAAATTTACTTTCATCAGAGAACATGACTTTGGACCACTCACCAGCAGTCCAGTCCTGTTTCTCTTTAGCCCAGGCAAGACGCTTCTGACGCTGTCTGTGGTTCAAGAGTGGCTTGACACAAGGAATGCGACAGCAGAAACCCATGTCTTTCATACGTCTGTGTGTGGTGGTTCTTGAAGCACTCACTCCAGCTGCAGTCCGATCTTTGTGAATCTCCCCCACATTTTTGAATGGGTTTTGTTTCACAATCCTCTCCAGGGTGCGGTTATCTCTCTTGCTTGTACACTTTTTTCGACCACATCTTTTCCTTCCCTTCGCCTCTCTATTAATGTGCTTGGACACTGAGCTCTGTGAACAGCCAGCCTCTTTAGCGATGACCTTTTGTGTCTTGCCCTCCTTGTGCAAGGTGTCGATGGTCGTCTTTTGGACAACTGTCAAGTCAGCAGTCTTCCCCATGATTGTGTAGCCTATAGAACTAGACTGAAAGACCATTTAAAGGCTTTTGCAGGTGGTTTGAGTTAATTAGCTGATTAGAGTGTGGCACCAGGGGCCATCAATTTTGCACCTTTTCACAATATTCTAATTTTCTGATATGATGAATTTGAGATTTTCATTTGTTGTCATTTGTAATCATCAAAATTAAACAAAATAAACATCTGAAATATATGAGTTTGTATGTAATGTATGAATATAATATACAAGTTTCACTTTTTAAATGGAATTACTGAAATCAATCTACTTTTTCATGATATTCTAATTTTATGACCAGCACCTGTATATATATATATATATATATATATATGTATATATATATATATATATATATATATATATATATATATATATATATATATATATATATATATATATGTATATATATATATATATATATATATATATATATATATATATATATATATATATATATATATATATATATATATATATATATATATATATATATGTATATATATATATATTCTGAACTATATTCTAAACTTGTTCTAAACTATATTTCATATACTTAACAATAGTATAGTCAAGTGTACTTGACTATACTATTGTTTACTTTATTGTTTACTAAAGCATACTTTAAGTATACTTTAGTAAACTTAAAAATGTCCTAATTTAGTTCGAAGAAGTATTACTTTAGTTGTTCGGTACACTTTCTAAACTTATACTTAAGTATTCTTAAAAGAATTTACTTCAAGTATACTACTTTTTGCTAAGGGAGAGAAGTTTGTGAAGTTGCAGCTGTAAAGAACTTTGTAATCTATCTCTCACTTTTTTTCTTATTCTTTCCAAATAGCACTAGTCTGTAGCAATAGTGCTGTGTTAAGTAAGCTATTTTGGGTCTTCCTCTTTTTAAAATCCTCTCCACTTAAGTATGGTAACTGCTAAAACAGTTTAAACATGGAGAAATGTAAGACTGAGACCAAAACGAAATGGGTCCTATAATGTTAAAATTATGTTTCATTCTCCTAATTGCAATCTGTGTGTGCACTTTCATGAAGAAGGCCTTGTTTTATTAGACTGTGCCTCAGAGGACAAATAAATAAATAAATAAATAAATAAATAAATAAATAAAAACTCAAACAAAAAAACCCATATTTCAAATATATGTAATATTTCAAATAAATATCAAACATATATATATATATATATATATATATATATATATATATATATATATATATATATATATATATATATATATATATATATATATATATATATATATATATATATATATATAAAATAGATGAAATACTCCCATTAAACACCTGGCAGAGCAAAGCAAGGCATTTATATGAAATGTTGGAAGGTAAATGCAGAGAAATCAAATAGTTCCTCTTCTGATCTAGTTTGATTCATAGTTAAAATCACGAGTTTTCTCCTCGCTTGCTGCTCTTATCAAGTGCATCTCAGGGGACTGAGTAGGCAGGTTATGGCCATTGTCCTTAGCAGCCAGGTGAGGCTCAGGTAGGCCGTGACGTCATCCAGATACTTTTGACCTCCTTGGCAGTAAATCCATAAAGGTGTGTATCCTTACCGCTCAGGTGCAGTTATAGCACCGAACTCTTAACTGCTGGAAACAAACACAGCAGCCGAACATGCGCCAAGGGGCCTGATCCACCTGAGATCAAACCTAACCTGTCATCCATTCTCCGGCATGTACCCCAACTACCAGCCGGGGAGACACCCGGCTCAGACCCTCACCCTGAACGGCCAGTACCTTCCGCCTGCTTATGATTTCTCCGGTTACCATCACAGCGTGTCGGGGGTCACCGACCCATCAACGACCACCTGGAACCCTGTTTATACTCCCCGCGAGGAGAACCCCTACAGCTTCCCGGGTTCGAGCCCCAGCGCGGGGCAGGTGAGCTACACCTCCCCGGAGCTGAGCAACGCCCCCTCAGCCGCAGGAGGAGAGGGGTCCCTCACTCCCTACAGCTTCATCCCAGGACAGGACCCCTTCAGCTTCCGGAGGAGACCACCTGAGCCCATCAGGCAGACATTTTCAGGTTAGACTTTATCTATAAACATTGTTTTTAAAACATATTTAATGGTTTCATTTTTCAAAATAAACATTTTCTAAGGATAAAAAGTTGTTTTTTTTCTATTTCACATTTTGAACAGTTTGAACATGTACTATGTTATCGTGCAGCTGATCACGTCAGCTTATTTCACTAACAGGAAGGAAAAGCATTATCTTGATAAACTTTTCAGTCATTCTGCTCTGCAGCAGCACAATAATCAGTTTAGCAGGGGGCCGGGGGGGCAGGTGTAATGCATGGTTTTTTGGATGACAGCATTATGCATATTGGAGTTAGATCAGTCTGAGGTAACATGCATTCATCATTCTGTTCACCTCTCCCTTCCGGTTGCTTTCAGATGTCATTGCAAAGCCAACAGTGAGGGCCAAATCTACACAGTTATCATTCTCCACCCTTTGTATCCACTGAGTTGATGCAACACATTGACAAATCACACTGCAGGGTGGCAGTGGAAGTCAAACTACAAGTCCCCTGACAGAAAGCCATCAGGCTTTAACCGTATCTTTGTGGTGCGTGTGCATGGATCAGTCGATCGATGGTGTCACATGCTCAAAATTTTTCTAATCAATAACTCTCACAGCGAGTTAAAGAACATTTTTGTCGATGAATGGCTGCCTGTGAAAACACCAATGCAAACAGAAGTCCCGGAGATAAGGAGAGCCAGCAAGGCGACGCATAGAGAAACCTCTATATTAGTTAGTATTAGCATGATTAATAGAGCTGATGAGGATTTAAGTGGCGCCTGACCTGGAAGTTGGCTCCAGACGTGTTTGGCCAATTCTTCCACCATGTGTGACTCACTGAAACATTATTTCCTACTGCATAACTCAGGTTTGGATCAAACTGCCCTACAGGGGACTTTGCAGAAAAAAGCCACCTCTTATATTTTTTTGTTTCAGTGATTATTGCTCATATCAGAAACACACTGGTGCAGATATATGACATTAAATACTAAATATAATCTGCATGGTGTGCAGGTAAACACAGAAAACCTTTCTGGAAGCAAAAATATAAATCAAGATATCACAAGTACTCAGTTTGCAACAGTATTCAGTTCAAAAATTACTTTAAAAATAAATAGTTAGTGTTATTACTTGGCCCGTCAAGTGATGTCTCCTTAAACTTTCATTCTAAAGTTTTGTTTATTTGCCTTTTTCTAAATTTACCCTTTGTGCTGAGCATGCATCAGTATAATTATATGTCATGTTTTTCTTAATTTTTATGTAATTCAGTTGGAAAGACACGGACGAAGGACAAGTACAGGGTTGTGTACACCGATCACCAACGGCTGGAGCTGGAGAAGGAGTTCCAGTGCAACCGCTACATCACCATGAGGAGGAAGTCTGACCTGTCAGTTTCTCTAGGACTCTCTGAGAGACAGGTGAGGCGAATGAGGTGAACAGGATGGTTTAATGGCAACGAATATGAATGAATGTAAAAAAAAACAAAAAAACACAAATAAACAGATATTCTCGATGCATACTCGGCTGTTAAACAAACGATAAATGAACAGACCCACATTTCATCTACATGCAGTTCTATTTTTTTGCACATACCTTATGCAAAAAAACAGAAGCACACGTTTTGTGGTATTTGTACACATCATAAGGGATTTAGCACATTCTGGCATAGCAAAAACGATACAGAGTTGTAATTTCAGTTGTTCCTGTATTTTCTGTTGCTGTTCAGCTGCACTAAAGGCCCACCATTAGACAGCATTTATCACATTTTCCAGCAGCAAACAAAAAAGAGCCCACATGCACCACTGCCTGCGGGATATTGATTTAATTATTTATTTTCATATAAGAAGAAAAATATACAATACAGCGTGCCTAAAATTGGAATGAATAATGTTTTTACTCTTGCAAAAAGGAGAAGTATTTAAGATTCTTGATGACAGCCAGCATTTTTCACATCTACACCCTGTATAACTTATTGAATTGTGTGGTTACGCCTTAATGATCAGTGGTAAGGGTCTTGCAGTCTATAGAATTTTAACATTGGTGGTTCTTATTTTAACAGCTGCATGCAGCGATTACAGACATTATTATTTGCATAACTTGATGTACTGGAAGCAACGTTTTGGCTAGATGATGCTCAAATAATTAAACTTGCATTTTATTTCTATTATAAGGAATAAAACTTTATTTTTAAATGGGTTGCATTTTTCTTTTTATGGTAGTTGTACAATAGATTTGACAAAAAATAAGTGTACATTAATGTGCAGAGATCTTTTCTGATATTAAGATGTCCACCTCTTAAAAATCTATATAATCAGTTATGGTTTTGTGGCTAAATGCCTAAATGCCCTTTTCTAGATAGAAGCATTAATGGTGCACAGCTCGCTGTTGCTTCCTGATGCGGCTTGTATTACTGCGTCTTCTGCCAGCTCATGTAATCATCCAAACCCACAGCTTTGTGTGATATCAGAAAATGTTAAAGTAATTCTGAGGAAACTGAACATTGCTAAACTTAACCATAAATAGACAGGGTACAGGAAGCTTAACCACACAACCTATAACCACAAGTATTCACACCCCTTCAGCTTTTCTACATTTAGTCACATTTTAACAAATTTTGTCAAGTTTTCATTTGATTCAAAAGAACAACAAAAAAGCACTGCATATTTTTTTAAGTGGAAAGGGAGATGATAAATGGTTTACAATTCTATAACCTCTTAAACTTCTCTCCTTTTAAATTTCCTTCCATCCATCCACGAGGAAGAAGGATTACTTGGAAAGAACTCAAGTATATACTATATCAGGGTTTCCGCGGGTCATTAAAAATCATTAAAAGTCATTAAATTGTTATTTTTTAAAATTAAGGCCTTAATTGGCATTAAAATTCATTAAACATGTTTATTGTGGCATTTACAATGCTTTCTTAAAAAAAAAAAAATTTATAAAAACAATTTCATCAGACATATTATATCACGATATATTTGCGTGGAACTGCTTCCGGTTCATCGCAAAGATGTTTGTTCGGAAAAGAAGCTTGAGTCGGTGAAACGGCTAGAGAATGGGGAAGAATGCCAATTTCAACAAAAGTGGTTGGAAAACAAGGAATTCGGGGCATGGCTGCAGCCGGTCGACGGTTGGTGGCATTAAAATTATTTCTAAGAGCATTAAAAGCGCATTAAAAAGCATTAAATTAGAGTTATTTATTCCTGTATAAACCCTGTATATAGAAAAATTGAAACACAGGATGTGAGGATAGGGCGTTATTGCAGTTTAAGGCCCTGCGTGTGAATGCTTCCCGTTATTGTTGCAAGTAGTTACTACTGCACTGAAATTCTTACAAATCAACAATATTTTTAGAAGTTTAAAAAAAGGTAAGGTTTTACATATATGAAATGTTAAGATAAAACCAAAAACCATGCAGCTCCTTAGAATATCAGAGAATCGGGTCACAATATCAGGGAATCTAGGGTAGAAAGTCTAAAGGGTTGCAAAACATGAAACTGGCTAAGATGGCTGCCTTCCAACAAGACATTGGTCCAAAACAATACAGCCAGAGCTTCTGTTTGATGGTTTGGATCAAAGAATCCTCATGTTTGAGAAAGGCAGAGTCAAAGTTCATGCTTAAAATCTAATAAGAATGCATTGTATAAATATTATTTACACCAATTTAGCTTCTAGTATGGTGGAGTTTGGGATATGTTTAGAAAAGGGGCTCTTTTTTAGTCTATATATGATTGCAAGTTCATTGCATTATTACACAACTTTGTGTTTGTGTGTCCCAAGTTATCCCAACCAGTTTCTGGCTAAAATGTGACAAAATTTGCAAAAAACACCCGCTATAAAATGACCTTGGCATAATAGTTTTAGATTAAGGACCTATGCTGCAAAGACAGCAAATGTAGAGACATGGTTGAAAACCATAAATGATGTCAAGGCATTACAGGCTGCTAAAAATAACGTTTCTTTAAATACTCTGAAAAGTCATCTTTCCTTTTTTTGTGTGTGTGTTTATCAGGTGAAGATCTGGTTTCAAAACAGACGTGCGAAAGAGAGAAAGATCAACAGGAAGAAGCTGCAACATTCCCAACAGGCCTCCACAACGACGCCCACCCCACCTGCTCTCGGTGTACTCACTGAATCCCAAGTTACCAGCAGCCCCGGCACCAGCAACATACTGTCGGACATAAAATCAGAGGAGTACTAGCTGGATTCCTGATCCAAGACAGACAGCATATCCTAAATGTAAATAGTTTCTGTTTTTATTTGTTCAACAAAGAATAATTAACCATTCACATCACTGATGCCACTAATCCAGTTTTCTGTTTTTTATTGTGAAGCTACACATGTTGCGCCAATCATTTCTACAGGGTGCATTAAAAATATTTAGCTTTTTATTTACCAGCATAGCCTATTATCAGATCAACACAGTAGCAATTTACATGTTTAATGTTTATAGCGCAGTACAAAAAGTATTTGCACCCTAACAGGTTTCTGCAGGGTTTTTAATTAGCTAATGACATTTACAGCTACAGGTCATCAAAATTTATTGGTAACAGGTGAGGTTAGCGTGAAGCTTCTTTTCTAATTTTTTGGAACAGCACTTTTATTTATTAAGGAAAAGAGGTAAATGAACCAACCCGCTTCTAGGTGAAAAAAATAACCGAAATAAACCAGACATTTGCCTCACATTCACTAGCCACACACTGGCCTGTTTATTGCTAGACCTGTAGAAATAAGAACTCACTCAAATAGAAACTAAAGAATGTTAAGTCATCAGTTTGGGATCTTAAGACAAATGCACTTAGAAACTGTAGCAGTGTAATAACTAAAATAAAATCACACCTGTAAGTCTAAAAATTTAAAAGTAGAAAAAAACCAGACAAAATAATGCTTTTGAGGGTCTAGTACACATCTATGCAGTGAAATGATCTTAAAACAGACCTGTCATGTTGAAAAACCACCCAGTATGACTTTAATTAAATAGTCCTGCATAAAAAAGTGACACAAACTTAATCCTGAGAAGGAAAAGCCTCCTTCCCACTTATCAGGAATAATTGATAGCGGTTGTTGACAAGGCTTGCACAGTCATTAGGTTTAAGGTCAGATAGTGTAAGGATATTTTTTACCCTAATAAATAAAAAATGTCAATATTATTACAATTATTATTATGTTTTGTACATACTCAGGTTATATTTCATGTGGTGGAATGTTGAAGTTTCACAAGAAAGCAAAACGAAAAAGGCCAATCTGTACCAACAAATATTTCTTCACAACACTGTATTTGTTAACCAGTTAACCAGCATTGGAAAAACCCTTTCACAGGCCTCTTTTTAAAGAACAAAATATTAATTAAGTTAATTATTATTTTAAGTTTGGTCTTCTGTTGTTAAATATATCTTGCATTAAGAAGTTATTTGTTCTTCTTTTTTTACCAGATACCGACATGGCAACTGCTGTGCTGGGTGCTTATAGGTAGCAAAAATGCAAATGAAGTTCAAAAATAGATTTGATATGACATTTTGTGGAAGTTCTGCTGTTTCGGTTTATAGGAAACGGAAACAACAAAGCAGACAGGAACATGGAGAGAGAGAGAGAGAAAAAAAGAAAAGTGAACTAAAGTTTTCTGAGGTGTGAAAAAATTTTTAATATTGAAGCATGAGAGATTGAAGGGAAATTTTTATCTTTATAAAGTGGCTTTATTCAGACCTTTTCACAAAAAAAAAAAAGTTTTCAGGAAGTACAGTTGTAAAAATTAGGAAACTAGAAATTAAGATGGCGGTGTTTAGCCACATCCTGAAAGACAGATGCAAGATTGCTCAACCACACATCATGTGATTTTCAGTCACTGTAGCTCTAAACAAAGAGTTTCAGTTGTATGTCCTTAAAGCTTAAAATTAAGCTAATATTTTAAAGAATACATGCATGAAAAAAAAAGACAGAGTTTAAGTTATCAATTCCTGGACTAACTTTATCTCAGCTAAAGAACTGGCTTGCTTGAGGCACAAAAATTGGCACTGGACTTTGTTTTATGGTGGGGTAACTATGGCATGGCACGGCAGGGTCATATGAGAGTGCCATGACAATCATAATCTCTTGACATTTATGGAAAACAAATCTTTCATTACATCTTAAACAATCATACAATGGTTGATACTCTCTGAAAATACAGAATTTGAACATTTGCAGAGAACCACACTATCTGGTTCCTGTTCTTAAACTGGACGAAGTTGAAGTCTTTATTTGAGCAACAGGAAAAGATATTAGATGGCAGTTTAAGGAGAATACAACTGTCTTCAATCATAAACCTACTTTATGGTCCTGTAAGTCAGCTGAATGATTGTTAACCTTTAACCTTGGACTATAAAACTTAACATATCCTGTCGTTGATTAAACAGACAGAAAGTGAAAGCCCAAACTTCTCTGGAAAAATCGGACCACAAGATCATAGTATCACTAAAAATCATCAAACACCTGAACAATCTTAATAAATATACCCTATTTAATGGTTTTTAAACTTGCAATATATACTAAAGAAAAAAGAATTGCCTAATGATATAATCATTTTCATTTATATTGTTAAGAAATTATTTAGGAATAAAATAAATATCATCCAAAAGTTTAAAACTGCTGAAAAGATCAGGTTGCCTTTAAATGTGATTGAATTTAGTTGCTAGTAGAAAGCAAAACTAAAACAAAGCAGTGAACATTTGCCAAAGGGAGGGACATGTATTTGGAGTTTATGAAGAGCTTTTTTTAAATAGAAATTTGTTTGCAAAGAGGATCTGCTAACTACAGTAGGTACCAGTTGTTTATCATAAAAGCTCAAGAATTCAGTCGGATTCACATGATGGCCCCCATTAACATAGCTTTTTAAATCATCTATCAAATGTAGATCTTTACTTTGACTAAAACTAACACATTACTTTCCCTTGATCCAGAATTTTCAGGTCTAATTAGATGCCTATAGTTGTTATCCTGCTAGAAGATAAACCTCTGACCCAGCCAACAGTGCTTTCCAGCCTCCAACATATTAAGCTGCCCTATATTTTGCGCCTCTGCCCTTCTAATATCTCTAATCACTGTCACTGCTGAAGAAACATTCCCACATCATGATGCTGCCACCTGCCCCTTTACACGGTTAGCATGTGCTCAGTGTAAAGCACTGTGTTGGTTTTCCATCTGCAATATTTTTTTCCATATAGACCAGGTAATTTCACATCTCAAATGAACCTTCATTCATGTTGACCATGTTGACCTTTAACATGTCTTCTGGAAAGGCCCAAATATTCATATGTTTTGGGGAATGATCTATAATGTAATCTGTCTTACTCATGTAAATTCTTGTTCATTGTTCATGTTCTTGTTCATTATTTGGATAAGACATCGTTTATAGTGGCTAAAAAAGCAATAAATTGGAACTGGAGGAAAGAACACATTTCATCAAAGGACCATTGGACAGCTATGGTGGAAATCGTTTTTTCTGATGGAAACGCCGACTCACAGGTTTAGACTACAAGAAGCACAAATGGACAAAAAAAAAAAAAGGACAATCAATATGAAAACATGATGGCTTTTGAAGAGTTGAATCCTTGGTAAATATAGAGAATATGTTATATATGTTCTGTGTAAAAACACTTTAACTCAATAAAATATAAGTGATGAAAAAAATGCATTGTGACAAACCACAAACTACTTTTTTGCTAATGTTGTTTAGCAGTGGTTTTCTTCTTGCTACTCCTATTTTATGCAAAGGTTTACTGTTTCCCCACCTGAGGCGTGTGTCTCTGTGGCTCCTCCTGACCTGGAATGAATCTTTTAACGGCTTCTATTCTAAATGCTCCTCTTGCCCAGCTTGTCAGCTTGGGTCAATAACAATGTCTTTGTAGGTTTTTTGTTGTGCTAAACACTTTCGATTTTTAAATGATGTTTGAACATCATTAAAATACAATCATTTGCAATTTTATAAATTATTCTCCAGGAGGGAGCAGCTCTACATAGACATACCAATCTACTCCTTTTCTCAGGATGGGGAGGGGCTCAGCTCAAAGAGCACAATTCACAAGCTTTATTCAGACATGCATCAATAAAGCAAAATACACCCTTTTTATGATTTTAATAAAGGAATAACTAGTCACATACAGGTCCTTGTCAAAATATTAGCACAAACTTCATCGGACCGATAAAAGAAAAGTGTTCTTAATACAAAAAAACAGTTATGCACAAAATTCTTGGTCGGGAATCCTTTTGCAGAAATGACTGCTTCAATGCGGCGTGGCATGGAGGCAATCAGCCTGTGGCACTGCTGAGGTGTTATGGAGGCCCAGGATGCTTTGATAGCGACCTTTAGCTCATCCATAGGACTTTCGTCTCTCAACTTTCTCTTCACAATATCCCACAGATTCTCCATGGGGTTCAGGTCAGGAGACCAGACTGATGGTGCTTGACACTGGACTTTTGGCATTTTGGCATTTCCTTCTCCTCAGTCTTCCCCCAGACTGTGGCAACTTGATTTCCAAATGACATGCAAAACTGACTAACAGTCCAGTGCTGCTTCTCTGTAGCCCAACCCAGGTGCCTCTCCCGCTGTTTCTGGTTCAAAAGGGGCTTGACCTGGGGAATGCAGCACCTGTAGCCCATTTCCTGCACGCGCCTGTGCACGGTGGCTCTGGATGTTTCTACTCCAGACTCAGTTCACTGCTTCCGCAGGTCCCCCAAGGTCTGGAATCGGCCCTTCTCCACAATCTTCCTCAGGGTCCGGTCACCTCTTCTCGTTGTGCTCTTCTCGTTGTGCAGCGTTTTCTGCCACACTTTCTCCTTCCCACAGACTTCCCACCGAGGTGCCTTGATACACCAGTCTGGGAACAGCCTATTGGTTCAGAAATATCTTTCTGTGTCATACCCTCTTGCTTGAGGGTGTCAATGACGGCCTTCTGGACAGCAGTCAGGTCGGCAGTCTGACCCATGATTGAGGTTTTGAGTGATGAACCAGGCTGGGAGTTTTAAAGGCCTCAGGAATCTTTTGCAGGTGTTTAGAGTTAATTTGTTGATTCAAATGATTAGTTGCATAGGTCCTTTAGAGACCTTTTTCATGATATGCTAATTTTGTGAGATAGGAATTTTGGGTTTTCATGAGCTGTATGCCAAAATCAGATCAAGATAATCAAATTAAGACAATAAAAGAATTGAAATATTTCAGTTACAGTGCAATGAATCTAAAGTATATGAATGTTCAAGTTTTATCATTACATTTTGGAAAATAATGAACTTTATCACAATATGCTAATATTTTGAGAATGACCTGTGGTTAATAGCCCAAAGCCTGAATATTAGTAGAGGTAAAATATGCAGTTTGTTTTACCTTGAAAAATAAAGAAAGAAACTAAAAAAAACAAGAAACAAAGAAACTTAGGAAAAGAAACAAAGAGTTGCAAACCACTCATAAGCCCCCCCAAGAATGAAAAGGGTTAGATTGTACTTTAAAAAACAGAAAAGGCCAACACAGCTTTGGAGTAAGGATGAAACCAAAATCAAGTTACTCTATAACAACTGCAAAAAAAGTCTGGCCAAGGGATGGAACAGCCCATGAGCCAAAGTATACAGCATAATCTGTACAGCACGGCAGAGGGAGTGAAATGGCTCGGGTGTGTGTGACTGTGAGTGGCATTGGGAAATTAGTGTTTATCAATGCATCAAAAAGAAGCCCCTGACCTAAAACTTTATGTCAAAGTCAACCAGGTCTGTTCAAGAGAAACATTTCCTTAATTGAAAGTCAGTCACCCGGGGTTTCTTTTATAAAGTATTATAAAGCGTGCACACAAAAGAGGGCCTGAAACTTGTGTAGCCTGACTACCATGCAAAGTTTTTGATACAGACTTGAAAATGCATGAGACTGTGTGTTCCTTTATGTCAACTCTGACCCATCTGTACAAGGTTTGTAACATTTTGGAGAAGGGGAAATTAGTGAGACAGATGGTGACTGAGGGGAACTAAAACTGATCATTTTAATTTAATCAGTTCTGAAACTGCAGGGTGATATATGCTGGAAATGCTGAACCTCTTACACTATAAAATAAGGCTCATGAGCAGCTTAAATTCAAAATCTAAATCGGCACACATATAGACGTTTCCTTACCATTGCATTCCTCTCTTCATCGGCCAATAGGGTGAGTCAAACAGCAGATCATTGTATTCATGTATAAAGTGTGAGAAATTCACACAAATTTCTGTGGACATCAAAATGCTGCCAACCCCTCCGTGTGCAATGGTTCACAATGGAGAATTTAACAATGTTAGAGAATATGTAAGGGATTTTTAATAAGGAGGGAACTAAAACATGACCAATGTTATCTGACCCAGGATATCAACTGATTAGACTCCATAGAGAATTGCTCTCAGATCTATGTGCTGCATGGGTCCAGTATTAAAGAGAATGAGCTGCTGCACCCACACTCTCCCTGGGACCACTGTGTAGAAAAATGGTATCTGGTTGCACAGTTCTAAAGAAACACAAATAAATACGAATAAAAATCATATTGCATGGTCAGTTTATCAATGATTTAAAATGACCAAAGAAAGATTGGGTAATGTGTTTATACAATGAGCTGATGTGGCCAAACAATTACCTTTTCTGCTTAAATATTAGAGATGGATGAGCTGCTTCCTAAGATTATTATTATTATTTATTTATTTTTATTGATTACAACTGCTTACCACAAAAGCTATTCCTGCACAGGTGTTAGACATAATCAACAATTAATTTACTCTCTGCCTCAAGTTTTCTTTTAGGAACAAAACTATTCAGTGAATTTATCTATAAATCTGAGAGTGAGAGATAATTACTCTACTGCCTAGATGTCTGATCAGTCCACATCACACATTGAAGGTGGCACTAATGATACCTTCCTCTTTTTACAGTGGTTTCTAAATATATTCATCTGACTTTCCACCTCACAAACCAACACCTCAATTAATCTGCTCTTTCCCCTCTCTTTGCTGCAGTTGCCATTGGTATCTGTTACAGTAGATAACAATTATCAACAGATTCATATAAATAAGCACATTTATGCAGTGGTTTGCATGGATCATGTATGGTTAAAAGTGGGCGTGCACAGATGCAAACATGACGTGAAAACTTGGAAACAAACTTTGAGGCACAGCTGTGATCTGTAAAGGAAAATTACTTTTTTTTTTAACATGGTTTTTATAAATTTTTGCGTACTCCATTTTAGGGTTTTTTGCCATGCGTACACTTTTAGCATGGATTCCACACAATGTTTAATAAATGAAACCCATTTTCTTAACAGACCAACTTAGGACATAAAGGCCCATAAAGAAGCAGCTGCAGCGACTGTCAGTCACTTCTAGGTAGGCTCAGTGGAGTCACCCCAGAAAAATGTTTTAATTCCATTAATTAAATCTGGACATTTTCAGAGTCTTAAGGAGCAAAAGCAACATCTTTATGACTTTTGAAAAGGCTAGGAAGTGCATTTCTCTGTTCCTGTTTCCTGCCAGACATTTCAGGCATTATAAACTCAATTGTTTATGTCATCTTTCTTTTGAAACTTCTATCTAAGTGGATAGAAATGTATCATGAAAGACTTTCCAGTATAACTGAAACTTCAGTATTTAAAATAAACATCCATATCCTATTGTATTATTATGTTGGTAATCAGGCCTAATCTGTTCACTCTTGTTAATGAAAGCTTTTTAACAGATTTCTATTATAATCTTCCACAATTCTTCTTTTCTTCCTTATCCTGTTTTCCCTTTAGTGAAGAATATCCACACAGTCAAATACTAAAATTGTAGAAATTAAAACAATATATGTCATTTCACCATAAATTTTCAGGAAGTTTTGTCATTTCAACATGTTAACATAAATGAAAGTACCTTTCTGGGTTCCAGAACAACCCAATGTCAAAGTTTGAAACTGTGAAAATAGCTAGAAAAAGATTAAGTATAAATATTAAACAAGATAAAATATGCACATTTAAGGAATTACATAAAATAAATAAATATAAGAGCATGATTCACATAATTTTATCCTCCGGAGGGGGGAAACATTTATTTAAATTCTGAATTCCTACTTCTGTCTTAAACACTTCATAAGTTCAGCGCTACATCGTCAGACATCTCAGTTTTCCCCCCAACTCTCATTTCATCTCAGGCTGTTTTATAGTCTCAATATCGCACTGTGTAGATGCCCATGCACAACGGAATATTGTTGAAACCTTACTGGAATTCACGTGTTTTGGTCAAAGCCAGAGGTTGCTCTGACACTGGACAGAATGTTTATGCAGACGTTCTCTGTTTATGCCAAAACATCTTAATATATCATCTA